TTTTTTTTTTTTTTGCGGAACCAGGGATTGAACTCAGGCCCTTGCACTTGCCAAGGAAGCACTTATTCCACTGAGCCATCTCTCCCGTCCCTGTGTTTATTTTAATTGACACATAAATTGTATGTATTTATAGGTAGAGTGTGACATCTCCATACTTGTATATAATATGCAATGATCAAATCAGAGTAATTTATCATTTCTTTGTATTGGGAACATTGAAAATCTGCTGCACTAGCTACTTTGAAATATACAGTTGTTTCTAGTCATTGCTAATTTACTGAGCAACTCTCTGAGCAGCACCATGGCGATAGGCAAGAACAACCACCTTACAAAAGGCAACAAAAAAGGAGCCAAGAAGAAAGTGGTTGATCCATTTTCTAACAAAGACTGGTATGATGTGAAGGTGCCGGCCATATTCAACATAAGAAATATTGGAAAAACACTCGTCACCAGAACCCAAGGAACCAAAATTGCATCTGATGGGCTCAAAGGTCGTGTGTTTGAAGTGAGCCTTGCTGACCTGCAGGATGATGAAGTTGCCTTTAGAAAATTCAAGCTAATTACTGAAGATGTTCAGGGCAAAACCTGCCTGCCTAACTTCCATGGCATGGACCTCACCTGGGACAAAATGTGTTCCATGGTCAAAAAATGGCCGACCATGATCGAAGCTCATGTTGATGTCAAGACTACCGATAGTTATTTGCTTCGACTGTTCTGTGTTGACTTTACTAAAAAACGCAACAATCAGATCCGGAAGACCTCCTACGCTCAGCACCAACAGGTCAGCCAGATCCTGAAGAAGATGATGGAAATCATGACCCGGGAGGTGCAGACAAATGACGTGAAGGAAGTGGTCAATAAACTGATTCCAGACAGTATTGGGAAAGACATAGAAAAGGCTTGCCAATCTATCTACCCTCTTCATAATGTCTTCATCAGAAAAGTAAAAATGCTGAAGAAGCCCAAGTTTGAATTGGAAAAACTCATGGAGCTTCATGGTGAAGGTAGCAGCTCTGGAAGGGCTACTGGAGATGAGACTGGAGCTCAAGTTGAACGAGCTGATGGATATGAACCACCAGTCCAAGAGTCTGTTTAAGATCCAGATTTTTAATAGTGATAAATATTTTTTTCCTGTTTGTGGAAAAAAAATCTACTGTGCAATACAACATGACTGATTATTTCCCCTATTCACCTGGACCCCTGTAACCACTAATTCTGTTCTGCCTACCTTCATCTTTCCAGGAAACATCCCTTTGGAGGCAGGGTGGGCTAATAGCCCTGTGTGCTAAGAACCAAGCCAGTCTCAACCCTGCCAGTTTACATCAACCTGGACTAGTCACTGTCCTCTTGGCAGCATAGGCTCTTTTGGTAAGGTAACTGACCAAATTCTGCCTGGGGCTTGTTTTCCTTTGAACTGTGTATTAGAAAATAATTTTGTGAGTCCCAGCCCAGGCGCAGCGTGGGCCGGAACCTCTCCCAGCCCCGTGGGCCGCCCCCCACCCCTCTGCAGTGCCTCCCCCACCCCGCCCGCCAAGTAGGATTTTCTGCCGAGTTCCGGGAGCCCCCAGACCCAGTCCTAGCCCAGGTCCGGTGAGTGTGCGGAGAGTTTCCTGCTACCCT